GAAACAGAAACAGTAATCACACAGTAACAAGAAATGCGACTCGAAAACTCAGCATGCCTGCGTGCAGAGACGGTCAAGCCGTCAGTAAGCACCGGGCAGAGGGTGAGTCCAGGAGTGAAAAAGCGTAGTCGTTTATCTTACCACTCGCTGATCCTCGCGTTGTGTATCTCGAAGCACCTGGAGAGAAACACCAGTGCTCACACCAGTGCTCCCACCAGTGTTCACACCAGTGCTCCCACCAGCGCTCTCCTTTACTGCGAGAAACAGCAGCTTATATATACTAACAGTTGTCACGTGGTTATGCCACGTGATCATCAAACAAGATACTGGGATTCACGTCGCGTGACGTAGTCACGTGGTTATGCCACGTAATCATCAAACAAGGTACAGAGATTCACGTCGCGTGACGTAGGTGAAGCCTTACATCCAAATCCCGTTGGGACGCGGATCACGTGATCTTGGTGACCCTTGACCGCTACACATGTGTAGTAATCGTTTATGATTCTTCTTTAAAATAAAAATAGCACTCTCTTTGCAATACTAATATTATTTACCAAAGGGTCTCTCTTAGTCTCTACCAGGGTGAGTATAAATCGTAAAAATCGTAGGCCCATGCCAACTACCCCTTCTGTTCTGCCATGTATATAGACTATTACTTACTATAGACGCTGTCTACAACTAGAATACACTCTAACTCAGTAGATAATAGTAATTATCAGTCTTAACAAGTTACAGTCATGCCTGCAGACGTTTTTATGCCTTACAAATTTTTTATGGCCATCACCTACTATATAAGCTGTTATAACCTATTATAGACAACACATGAATTTAGAATATGCACACTAAAATGTGGGAAAATAAGAGTAGACTACTCACATTTCCCAGCTGCTCCTTGCTCTATCAACTATCATGCAGCTGTATACCTGTACCATAGTAGAGCTAGAGTGACGCATATAATGTAAAGCAAATCCATGCGCACCGCATGGTTTTTTTTTGGGGGGGGGGGCATTTTCAGAGTGTCTGCATGGCAGCAAGAGTAGATAATAACACATGTGTTATTATCTACTATTGATGGCAGGCATAGGCCATTCGGGGGCGTCTGGCGTATACACCCACCACTTTTCAACACACACACCGCCATTCACGATACCTGAGGCTATGCCGGACATTTTCTAATAGGTGCCAGGTTTCCTTTCCAGCTAATCTAGCTCAATTTTGGGGGTAACGGTTTTTTAGGTCTGGCGGATGCGCCCCACTACTAAACAATTCTGGCAGTGTCCATTCCTGATACCTGGGACCATGCCGAACATTTTGCAATATGTTTCATGGGGTTTCCTCTCCAGCTAATCTAGCTTAATTTTGGGGGTGGGGCAGTTGCGGGCGTCTGGCGGATACACCCACCACTGAATTATTCTGGCAGTGGCCATTCACGATACTTGGGACTATGCTGAACATTTTCCAATGGGTGCCAGAAGGTTTCCTCTCCAGCTAATCTAGCTCAATTTTGGGGGTGGGGCAGTTGGGGGCGTCTGGCGGATACACCCACCACTGAATTATTCTGGTAGTGGCCATTCACGATACCTGGGACTATGCTGAACATTTTCCAATGGGTGCCAGAAGGTTTCCTTTCCAGCTAATCTAGCTCAATTTTGGGGTATCGGTTTTTTATATCTGGCGCATGCGCCCCACCACTAAAAAAATGCTGGCAGTGTCCATTCCTGATACCTGGGACCATGCCGAACATTTTCCAATAGAGTTCATGGGGTTTCCTCTCCAGCTAATCTAGCTCAATTTTAGGGTGCGTTTCAAATGACCCCACTGACCAGACCCACCAGCGGCTGCCCGCCAGACTTACATTTCCTTACATGGGTATGTACACGAATCATTGCTATATGCATGAAAATTGGTTTCCTTTCCAGCTACCCCCCCTGGGCTCCCGGTCTAGTAAGGGTTAACGAGTGAATGCTATAATGCTCCAATAGGCCGTAGTCTGAACTCGAAAATCGCACATTTTCGTTGCACCAAAGCTGGGTCTAAAAACTTTCATCACTAACGTGTTTATAATGGTAAACTCTAGTTAAAATTACACGTCTAGAAGTTTGAATCCCCGCAGTTTTTTTAGTAAACACCTGTAAAATATTTGAACTACTTCACCCGCGGAGAAACGACGCGCATGAATATTAGCAGGTAAACTGACGTTCCAGCCAATAGGATTGCACCGTGCACACACACACACCCAGCAATGGCAGCGCCCACGACAAGTAATCATCTAACCTCGTAAATATTAGTCTTCAAGTTTAATAGACTATATTGAAGACGGAAAGAGACTAATTTCATACATCTGGACAAAATGAAGTGCAATATTCGTGTAGTCAACGTTGAAAGTGCATAAGAATGGTCAGGGGCGGATTAAGGCTCACTGGTGCCCTAAGCACTGACCAATCTTGGTGCCCCCCTCCTTTCCACACTGACCCAGTCCATTTTAGTTGTTGACCTGTCTGGACAGATATACAATGTAGGTTGCAGCAGTACAAAAATATATGTAGGATTTCAAGGAGAGTGGTGATAAACAGGCGGGGGGTATGGGGGTCCTCCCCCAGAAATTTTTTAAAATGTAGATCGCAGGAGATGGTATTTGAGGCACTTTTGAGCGTACATGCATGTACACCTTCATTCTGCCTACGAGTCAATCTATTTTTTTTACACGTTTCAGTTGTGAGAAAGACCTCTCTGCTGTGCAGTTGGTGACCATTAATGTTAAAAATATTCTTAAGGCAATTTCAAATTTGAAAGCACTCTGTAGTATGGTCTTCTGTAATTGTGTGTAAAGTTCCATAAGTAGGAAAGATGTTTCTTGGTTGTTTTAAAATTATGAAGAATCATATGAATGGAATGCTGAAAAGCTCTGTAGACAAAGTGTTGTTATCATGTCATCCGGATAAGCATCAATGAGTGTCTGACAAGTCTTTGAGTACCTTTCACTTTCTGATAATTGGGAATTAGCACCTTGTTGGGTGGCATTAGGGGCCCCTTGTATTGTATTGTATTGTTGGGGGCCCCTTGTGGTACACCTGGGAAGTACAAATCTTTATTCGTTTTTTTTCTTTTCACCCTTTTCCCAGCTTTGTGGTGCCCCCTTTGGCACTGGTGCCCTAAGCACGTGCTTAGTCTGCTTAATGGTTAATCCGACACTGAGAATGGTATACTGGTAGTAGCAATGTAGTATAAAGTAAAACTAGTTCCCGGTAGCTCTAGTAGTTTATTAATTGATTAATAAAGCATAAGATATATAGCAATAAAACCAGCTAGTTTTCCAACTATCAGTGGCAGATTGGTCACAACGCAGATGCTCGCTAAATAATTCTAACCACATTTGTAGGTATATATATGCGTGTACATACGCGCATTGTACATATTACTGACGTGTGTGTGTGTGCGCGCGCGCGCACGTGCGTGCGCGAGTGTGTGTGTGTGAGCAGGAGAGCAAAAAATGCAAACAGACAGACAATGAGAGAGAGAGAGACGCAGAGAAACACAGACACGCACGCACGCACGCACGCACGCACGCACGCACACACACACACACACACACACACACACACACACACACACAGAAACCGAGGCAGAGAGAGTGAGAGAGAGAGATAGACAGACAGAGAGAGAGAGAGATAGACAGAGAAAGAGAGACACACATACACACAAACAGACAGAGTACATGGTTTATTCCCGGTTGGCCTACTGCCATTTCGTCTATAGCAAAACTCCCAGTTGGTCTACGCCAATTTCGCATACTCTCAATTCGCCTACACTAAAAACACATCTCATTCCGATTTTGTCTACCATCAGTTTAGCCACTAAATAACCTTTTATAAATGTAATATATGGTTTTGATTAGGATACATAGACTAGACAGTCGCATCCACACTAATTTCTCCTGGTATTTGTTGTAATATCAATACTACAACGAAATGGCACTATATTACCTATTCTGAGAGTAGACGAAATGGGAGTAGGCGAATGGGAATATTGCCCATTCTGAGAGTAGGCGAAATGGGAAGTAGGCGAAACGGGAGTAGGCCAACTGGGATGTTACAGAGTAGGTGAACACAAAGCTCTGTTGCATGTCTGTGTTTTTCATCTTGCTCTAGTGATGTAGTACAGTACGAAATGCAGAGAGAGGGGGAACCGAAAGATGTATGTGCGTGCTGACGTGCGCGCACGTGCGTGTATATGTATGCATGCGCGTGTGTGTGCGTGAGAGAGACACAGACAGATACACAACGTGAGAATGGGAAAGTGGGGAGAGTGGGATGGGAGGGGAAAAATATCCAGAGAGAGGGGTTCAGACAGTGAAACAGAAACATAGCAAAACTACAAAATATACAAGAGAGAGAGACAGATAGATAGAGAGCGAGAGAGAGGTAGAGCGAGAAAGATAGAGGTAGAGAGAAAGAGGGAGAGAGAGCGCGAGAGTTAGACAGCGAAAGGGAGAGAGACGTGGGACAGACAGACAAACACGCACACAGAGAGATAGAGACAGACACAGCGCGCGCGTGTGTGTGTGTGTGTGTGTGTGTGTGTGTGTGTGTGTGTAGTGTGTGTGTGTGGGGGGTAAATGTCGGGGGGTGATTGCTCGGCAGGGGGTTAATCGACTCGGGAGGTGATTGTCGGGCGGTAAATGTCCGGGGGGTACACTTGTCCAGGCAGCAGTAAATCGATCGAGGGGTAATTGTGCGAGGGGGTTTAAATGTCCGATGGGGTAAATGTCCGGGGGGTAATTGTCCGGAGGGTGAATGCGCATGGGCGGGTAAATGTCTTGAGGGAGTTATTGTCATCCGGGGGTCATCACTGTGAATGGCATTGCGTCGTGGTTAATGTCGGGGGGGGGTAATTGCGTCCAGAGGCGATTCGTCGGGGCAGGTATTTGTCCTGCATACCATATATATCGTTGCTTATATATGTTGGAAAGTGATGACATAAACTATATATGCTAGATTTATTACAAACAAAAGA